AAGATACGATCACTCAAAGTTTAGAATTTTTTTCACAAAAACAAGGCTTTCAGACAAATTTAAAGGTAACTTCCAAGAAGATCAGTGCAAAAATTGACAAAACCAGTTTTTAGCAGATTTTTAAGGTAACCTCCACTGGTGGAAGTTAAGTGTAAAACGTGTCAAAAACCAGAGAACCAGTTTTTCAATACAACTTCCACTGGTGGAAGTATAGTATAAAAAGTGTCAAAAACCAAAAAAACCAGTTTTTCAATACAACTTCCACTGGTGGAAGTATAGTGTAAAAAGTGTCAAAAACCAAAAAACCAGTTTTTCAATACAACTTCCACTGGTGGAAGTATAGTGTAAAAAGTGTCAAAAACCAAAAAAACAGTTTTTCAATACAACTTCCACTGGTGGAAGTTAAGTGTAAAAAGTGTCAAAAACCAGAAAACCAGTTTTTTCAATACAACTTCCACTGGTGGAAGTATAGTGTAAAAAGTGTCAAAAACTAGAAAACCAGTTTTTCAATACAACTTCCACTGGTGGAAGTATAGTGTAATCTAGGTGTAAGACATTTTGGTGGTATATATGGAGGGAGTGAAGCTTCTCTTATAAGACATTCTGAATAATTGGCATATCCACACTGTAATCTAGGTGTAAGTCATATCCTAACTTAGTTTCTCAAAAATAATGATAGTATACATAAACAATTTCTCCAAACAAGTTTTTAAATTTTTTATTTTAAAAACAGAGCTACCAAACAGATTTTATTTCATTATTTTTTCTTAAAAACAATTTTCTAAAACTAATTTATAAAATCATTTTTAAAAACAGAAAATCAAAACTCAATCAAACGAGCCCTCAATGTTCAATCGCTCCTCCGTCTCTCTGCGGTTTCTCCACCTCCATTGCCGAACCAGACCACCCTCTCCCCCAACACCAATCCAAATCCCAACCGATTCAATCGCCCTCAAACCGTTTTCTGTTCAATGCTCGCAAACCAATTCAATGCTCACAAAACCTAGTTTTATATCAGTGGCTACTCAAGTGCTAAGATAGTAAATGGGTCTTTCGACTCCATTTTCATCTTCTTGGGCTAACATGTTTCCCAAAGTTCTGTCGGATGCAGCTATGTACAATCTCATACTCCTGTTGCCGCAAGGAGGCACCAAAATAGGTGGCTTGGTGAGATACCCCTTTAGATCTTGTTGAAGGCTTCTTGTTTCTCTTGCCCCCACTCGAATCTTTCCTTATTCAATCGAAGTAAGGGTGATAAGGCTTGAGCTTTTCCACTTAGGTTAGATATGAATCTCCTTAAGAAATTTATCTTGCCCAACAGAGATTGCAGTTCCTTCTTGTTCGTTGGCGCTTTCGCTTCCAAGATTGCCTTCGTCTTGTTCTGGTTGATTTCGATTCCTTTCTTGTGGACGACGAAGCCCAAGAAATCTCCAGCTTTTACACAGAACGCACACTTCAAAGGGTTCATTTTCAGACCATGTTCTCTCATTCTTTCAAATGATTGTCGAAGGTGGTCTATATGGTTCTTCCTGGAAACAGATTTTACAACAATATCATCAATATACACTTGCATAAAAGTGTTAATAAAATCATGGAAGATAGAATTCATCGCTCGCTGATATGTTGCCCCATCGTTTTTTAGGCCAAAAGGCATCACTACCCATTCGTAAGTGCCTAAAGCCCCGGGGCATCGAAAAGCTGTTTTCGACACATCTTCTTCAGCAATGAAAATTTGATTATATCCTGAGTAACCATCGAGCATGCTCAGGTACTCATGGCCAGCGGAAAAATCGACTAGCATTTCCGCCACAGGCATAGGATATTCATCTTTGGGTGTGGCAGCATTCAAATCTCTGAAATCTATGCATACCCTCAACGTACCATTTTTCTTAATTACTGGCACAATGTTTGCAATCCATTCGACTTGCCTCGTAGCTCGTATGAATTTGCACTTCAGCAGTCTTTCGACTTCTATTTTGATCTTCGACAGTATTTCTGGAGCGAAGCGTCTTGGACTTTGCTTGACTGGCTTCTTCCCAGGTTTGATTAGCAACTGAAGTTCTACCAATCCTCTGTCGAGACCAGGCATCTCGTCGTAATCCCATGCAAAGCATTCCTTGAACTCCTTTAATAATTGGATCACTTCAAACCTGAGCTCTGGGTCTATTTTGGCGCTGATGTAAGTTGGCTTTTTCTCTAACCCTTCGCCCAAGTTGATTTCTTCTAAAGGATTCTGTGCTAACATTTTGATGTTGTTCGCCAGGGGGTCCTTTTCAAATCCCAAAGGCTCATCGTCATAGATGGCGTCAAGCCTTTGCTCCTGCATTCCTTCTGTCATGATATCAGGAGGTTCTGGGTCGAAATCCTTTCCAGGACCTGCAGAAGATAGCTCTTGATCATTGGCCTGAGTGGCCATATATTTTACTTCGGCTTCGAGCCGCTATCATCCTTGTTTCGGCTACATAAGCCGAAATTTGCTGTAGTGATTGTGACTCAGTCATTATCACTGAATTCACTTCCCTAACCAGTTGGCTGGATGTCAGTTAGCCCACTGAAATCAATGTGGGACAAGTCTTCTCTGTCCCATTGAAAACCATGCTCAGGGTGCAGGTGCAAGGAACAAAAAGCATTTGGCGCTGGCGCCATGTCGAAGTCTGGTGCTGGGCATGGCCCAATGTGAGCCAAATTTTTGTCGAAGTCAGCTCTCCCCAGGTGATTTACTTCGCCCAAGTAATAGCTCTGATCCGCCTCTATATTTTCGACCATTCCATTAGGATGCCATAGTATTAACCTTTGGTGCATTGATGATGGTACTGCTCCAACACCATGTATCCATTCTCGGCCCAACAAAAGATTATAATTTGGTTTGGCCGATATGACCATAAACATAGTTGGTTGAAGGATGGATCCTACTTTGAGGTCTAGTTGGATCACACCCATAGTGGTCCTTATTCCGCCTTCATAATTCGACAGGACCATGTTATGAGGCTTGATATTTTCATCACTCTTGCCTATTTTTCTCAGCATGAAGTGAGGGATGATTTTGATGGTTGCCCCACAGTCCACCAAGATCTTATTTACGGTGGCTTCTTCGAGTCTTGCCCTTATGAATAAAGGCTTGAGGTGATTTTTCATCGCCTCAATAGGTGGTTCGAAGAAACCATTTTGCTCTTCGGTACGACCATTATCCATAACGAAGTAGCATACTGGCCTATGCTTGGCCATTTCTTGTTCGACTTCCCAGTCGTTCGATTCGACCTCCATCTGGCGGTTGAACTCTCTTGGCAAAACTAAGACTATGTTCACTATGATATCTAGGGTGTCATCAGACTCAGAGCCATCTTCGTCATCAACTTCGCCCTGGTTAGGCCATACCAGTCTATTGGTCACTGGTTGCCTCTCCAGAGGCTTTCTCTGCTTTCGCTGAGGGACATTTGAACTTGATTCTGGCTTTGGTTCGTTGATAGCTTCCCTCTCAGCCTTTCGCCGCCTCTGGTATCTTCTCCATTGGGATCGAGACATGGGATTCTTTCCCTTGTAGTTACTTGATACCTGGGTCACTTTGGAGGCAACAACCTGAGGTTCTTTCTTGTGTGTCAAAGATGAACCCCTTGGCACTTCGAAGGAGTGCCACCTTTCTTCGCTCGGTCTCTTTCGACCCGATGTTTTATGCCACGTATCAACTGGCACATTGGTTGGAGGCCTGAAAGTCAGTGGCCTCTTTTCTTGATTTGAACCCTTTTGGTAGGTTCTTATGGGGTCATGTCGAACATCAACACCTTCCCTTCTTCTGTTTGTTTCTCTTACACCTTGGATGTGTTCAGCAGCTTTCTTGTCGAAAATCGAGCTGCATCGAGGACACAACATCACTTCTGACTTCTTCTTCTGGCATCTTTGCAGGAAATCTGCCAGATTTTCGTTTTCCCGAGGGAAAGCCGTTTTGTTTGCTTGCTCTTGCCTAATGGCCTCCTCTGAAGCTTTCGATTCAGAGTTTTCGACCATGTTGACATTCATGGTGTCTTTGGTAGCAAGAGTCATCTGCTTCATCTGGGCCTCCAGGTCTTCTGTCTGGCCTTGGACTACAGCCAAGTAGGAACTGGGTTTAGCTCCAGATTTTGAGGCTCCAACTATCTCCAGTTTTGGGCCTTCAGCAGCTTTTTGGACTGCTTCGATTGTTTTTCTAGAAAGATTCCCAGAAAAACTGCCAAAGATTGGCATGTTGATATGATCCTTGGTGACTTCGACCATAGTTATTCCTGGCCTTTTCACCTGACTTCTAGACGCCTCGATCACATTCACCTCTGAAGGTTCAGCATAATGGGCTTCAACCTGCAAAGGGTTAGAGTCCACAGTCATGGGGGTCTTATCGGTGAATTTCAACCTCCCTTCTTCGATAGCATTTTGTACGAGATCCCTGAAAAGAAAACATTGAGATATTTTATGGCCCAGAAAATTATGATATTTACAAAAGCCTCTTTTCTTTCTTTGATCAAGAGGAGGCACTTTTACCCCTGGGGGTATTATCATTTGGCCATCTTTTACAAGTAAGTCAAAAATTTCATCACATTTTGTAATATCAAAACTGTAAGTCTTTTTAGGGAACCTATCGTTGGCCCTTTCAGGACCAGTGAGGTTTTTCCCACTTGAGGGGACTAGTAGTTTGCAAGAGTATGGTGGCCCTTGTTTTAACTCCGCTAAATCGACCTCACTTTCTTCGACGGTTATAGGTTCGTCGAATGTTTCTGGATCTTCATCGTCCATTTCGACATATACTATCCTTTCTCTTTTATGAGTTTTTGTCGCCCTGGCTTTTTCAGCTTTAAGGCGTTCTACCTGTCGAACCCTATCGGCCAATTGGGCCATGTCTCTCAGGTATTGAGTGTCTAATTTCTTCCTAATGGAATAATCTAGACCTCCTGCGGCTATTTCGACTAACTCATGTTCTGGAACTTGCGTAAAGCATCTTGCTTTGAGCAACCTAAACCTATTTAGATATTCGTCTATAGGTTCAGTGAATCGCCTCTTTACACTGGCCAATTCTTTCAGGCTTATCTTGGTTTGTCCCATGTAGAATTGCTCATGGAACAATCTCTCCAACTGGGTCCAATGGTGGATCGAATTGGGGGGAAGAGTTGTGAACCAAGTAAACGCGTTCTTTGTTAGAGAACTTGGGAAATACTTAATCCTCAGGTTTTCATTGTTTGAAATCTCCCCTGCTTCGATCAAGTATCTCGCCACATGTTCGATAGTGGATTCTGTCGTGTCCCCTGAAAATTTAGTGAACTTAGGGACTTTGCATCTAGGAGGTAAGTCTGTTTGTAACACATATTCTGACAGTGGGGATGTAAAGTTGGGCCTACGGAAGCCCATATTCATCCCATTTTGCATCATGATTCTTTCGATCATGGCTGTCAAGTTATTTTCCAAACTAATATTCTGGTATTGGATCTGCTGAACTACTTCGTCAGCATTTTGGTTTCTATTGACTATCCTTACTTCTGGGGCTATGACTCTAGGTTCTTCGACCCTGGGTTGTTCCATTCGCATCCTAAGGTTTTCTTCGACAGGCTGCTGGACTTGGTTAATAGTGGTTTCTTCCTCTAGAAGTATACCTTGGTTTCCCCTCATCTGTGCCCTTTGGGACTGTCGAATAGGTTGGGGTACCCCAAAAAAGTCGGCCAGACGCGCCATTTGCGTTGTCATTTGCTGATTCGACTGGGTGGTATTTTGTATTAGAGGATTTAGCACTGTACTTAAAGTTTGTTCCAACATTTGAACCATATCGTGGTTGCTTTCGTCCATTTGCTGCCTCAAGACTATTGTCGAGGCATTCGTAAGGCCATGCATTACTTGGGACGTTCCTCCTAAGAGTTGGGTCCCACCCCTGTTCGCCATACCAACTCCAGAACCTTGGAGTGGCGAAGAGGCGCTCACTAAAGGGTCTGAAAAAGTGGACGCAGCATTCGTCAGGCTAGCCAATTCAGAAGTTGGCATGCCATAGAGTGGTTCTCGATTTAGACCGACTGTCGAAAAACCTGGGGGAACATAAGGCCTAGTTCCTTGGTTTCCCCTTGGTGGGGGAGTTCCCAAAGGCATTCTGGGGCCAGTAAATGGAGGTAATGGCCCCGTTTGTGTGACCGTTACTGTTGGTGTTGAACCAGCGGTTACCATTTCACTTACGGTTGGGATGACCGTTGTTCCCACGTTTGTTTGTGGGATTTCGCCATTGTTTGGCGGATTCGCCATCGCTTCTCTTCTTCTCCTAGTATTGGTATCGTTGGTGTATATTCTACCACTTCTCAATAACATGTAATACTCTCGAAAAAGGAGGATATTTTGTATAAAACGGTTACTTAAAAATCAACACAAGGTCCCACCAGGTGTGCCAATTCGTTTACCGTGGAAATTGGTAAACAACCGCTGATCTTCCAAAGGGTTACTTATTTGGTGACTCGCAGGATCGATCAGATTGATCCTAAGACATGGTTGATTTTCTAGAGTTTGACTAATCCTAATGGTGATTAATGCCGGTAAAGTAAAGACACTTTAAGTAAATTGCATGAAGAAAAGCTTGATAGAATAAATAAAAGCGTTAAATAAAAGGCTTCGACGGAGATGAGTAAATGAAAAGCAATAAAGTGCTTGAATATAAAAGACTTTGATTAATTTAAATGGTGTTTCACACATACATTCTCAACGATTCTTTCGCTCACACTGGGTACTTGAATCTAGATGAGTGACTTGTATAAAATGATGAACACACTCGAAAACTACGTGAATAACTAGTATTTATACTAAAACAAATCCTAAGTAACCGTTGGGCAGTTACGTCGCTTCGAGATGACGCCACATGGCACGCTCACAGCATTCGACGCTCCTGATCTTGGCACGTTGCACTTGGTAACTGCTGGGAACCGTTTTCCCTCCAAGCATTCAAATCTCAAACCGTTCGACCCTGGGCATCAGGTACCTTTGTCGAGAGGTTCCTTCGACGTCGAAGACGACAAGATTCCCACTTGAAGGAAATTCTCTAAGTACCTTGTCATTCTCTGATGAGCCTTCGACAGGATCAGCTGGTCGAAGCCTGGAAACTCTTCTGACTCATAATTAATGGTCTATATTGATAACAAACAAGGGTGTCGAATTTAGGAGCCAACAACGCGTTGCTATCTCCTTTTCAATTTGCTTCCTAATTTTATCTTCTGTTCACACCGTAAATGATTTTTTCGGATGAATTTACCTGATAAAATCTATTATCTCCTTTAGAAGTGAAAAAATATTTTGAGGAAAGGGTAATAAAGAAAGTGTAGTCAATCTTCTAGTAAATATTTGATTGATTTATTTGATTGATTTTTTATTTTTATAATTTTGAAAAAATTTATAAATTTTTGATTTAATTTTTAGTTGTATTTTTAAATTTTTATAATAAAGTAAAATTCGAAAAATATAGGGCTGGAGAAAGAAATTCTCAAAAGAAATTGCAAAATTTGTTGTGTTATAAAGCCAATGAATTCAGGCCCATATAGTTTTGGCAGTCCAGGCCCGTTAAACGTGGAACAATAGAAACAGATAAGGACTCTATTTTTGTAAGTTTTTCCTTTACCTTCATCTTCTTCCCACCTTTGCGCTCTGTGGTCTTTCCATGACTCGTATCCGCTGAAGTAGTAACCCTCTTCTCAAACCATAATCTCCCTCTTCATCCATGGCTTCTCAAGTTTTTCTTCAGGTTTTTCTTCTCTCATTTCATTATTATTACGCAATTGAATACAAAAACCGTTACATTTTCAATTTCGCTACTTAATTCAGAATGTCAATTTTCCAGACTCTGTTTGCTCCTACTCAATCTCTTCCGAACAAGCTATGTTTCTCTTCTTGCTCCGCTTCCACATTCGGTTCCCGTAACTTGCCGTTGATTTCAACAACCTCAATTTCACGACGTTGCAGTCCTCTCATTGCTAAACCTAGTTCTGTTGTTAGAGCTGATTCCAATCCCGACGCTGCTTCGGCTTCGGATGTTGTCAATGAAGTTCCGGAAACTGATGCTGAAGAGGTTTCGGGATCTGATCCTGAGATTGAGCAATTGAAATCACCCAGACAAACTCGGGTCAAGCTTGGTGATGTTATGGGGGTAAATGCTCTCTTCCGTGTCGCAATTAGAACTGTTAATTAATGATTTTCTATGTATTATGAAGATTCTATTCGATTTTGAAGGTTAATTAGAAAGCTTGAATGTTTAAATTCTCTAGGTTTTCACATTTTGAATGTATTTGAAAAATGTGTGATGTTGTTTGTGAAGATATTGCATAAGAGGGCAATTAAGGCTTCGGATGAAGTGAGGGTCACTCCTGACATTAGGACTGGAGATATTATAGAAATCAGATTGGTATGGTTAATTTGTTTTTCCAAAGTTAATTTTTTAACATGGGTTTTAGGCTGAGATGAATTCCATGGTGATGTTATTTTTTTTCTACTTGCAGGAAGTTCCTGAGAACAAGCGTAGGTTATCTCTTTACAGAGGTATTGTAATCTCAAGACAAAATGCTGGTATTCACACAACTATTCGAGTCCGAAGAATTATTGCTGGCACAGGTGTTGAGATAACCTTCCCACTGTAAGTACCCTCACTCACTCTTTCCTTTCTTTCCCGATAATTTAATAATGATTAGTAATATAATTTGCACCTTGTTGTGTATTACCATGTATCCAATTGTTGTGACTAGGATATATGATGTTGAAACTAGAAGATGTGAATTTGGGATGAGTTCTTTGATTAAAATTATTGCTGAATTGAAGTCCCTAAGTCTGAGACACATTGAATGACTAAAAATATGAAAAGGAAATAGAATAATTTAACATTATCATTTGAAAGATATATAGATTGCATCCCAACTGATGCATTCATTGTTAATGTTGTGCTAGTTCTGGTACCCTGGTTGCCTGTTAAAGTTTGCAACTGTGCACCTTTAATTGTTAAGAAATTGGTTGAGGAGCACTGACAGAGAGCAGTAGAACTGAAAATAACCTTGTTCTTACAAATTTGATTCACTCACTACATTGAAGGGTTTTAACTTTGCCACTTCCCAACATATTGGGAATGGCTTTTCAGTTCTACTTGAAGTTTAACGATGACGATATCTCTTTTCTCTAAAAGAATGGAGGGTGAGATTAATGTTTGTTTCAATCTTACAAGTCTGTTGATTGCCAATAAATGTCTGCCATTCTTCTTTGTAGAATTTTTTCTAAGGTCTATGTTGCATGATAAGAGTTTATGAAATATGATTTTAAGGATCTGGAATATTTTATTCAAGTTAACAATTGACACCAACGTGGTTTTAATTACCTTGACTTATAAAATGAAGTGTTTACCGGATTTTTCTTGCGAGATGCTGTATGTTACGATGCTTATGTTTCGTGTTGCAGTTACTCGCCAAACATCAAAGAAATCAAAGTGGTACAGCACCGAAAGGTCAGGCAGGCAAGATTGTACTATCTAAAACAGAAGCTCCCCAGATTCTCCACTTTCAAAAAATTATAAGGTCATACATTGTTCATCATGTTCTTAGTCAAAGTAATCTATGGACCCCGGACATGTTATAGATGGGCCACAATTTGATTATGTTGATTTGTTGTAATGTAGATTGTATAATTTTTCTTCCCTTTAATCTATCCTCTTGAGGAATGGAATTGTACGTTGTTTTTGATAATATTGAGAAATTTGAAGTGTTTATTCTGCATGTTTATATCCTATAGAAAGCCAATTGCTGCTAAATAAATACGGGTCACATTTGAAATAGTAAGACCTAATCGTTGTATTTTTCATGTGTTGTGATGTGCCTGATCAAAGCATGATTGCGGATCTTGGAATAAAGGCTATACATTTTTTTAGATTATGCTACTCTTAGGACATTTATTAAGAATTTATAATAAGAATTTGTCTTGAAAATACATGTCAAACACTTTCTATGCTAAAAATTATTTGTCTTTCTTAAACAATGCCTTAAGATACTTGTTAGGATTTTCACTGTTTTAATGAAATAATAATATTTTTATGAACGTGTTGTAAAAAAGAGTATATGAATGTTGAAACTTGTTACTTTGTAACTATTAACTTTTTAAAACAACAAAGGGGTCAAGCCAATGTCTCCTTTGTCATAATAAGCGAAAATTAAACAAATGGGGGGATTTAGGTTTAAAATAAATTTTAGGCAGTGTATTTTTATTCATATGACAGTGATCTAACCTGATCAGACTTAGACTGTCACGGTTGACTCCGAACTGAAAGTTTTGAACGAGGTGGGGGATACCTGCAAGACACTCCGATGCTGAAGTAAGTAAGAGCACGAGCAGGCAATAGTAAGTATGGGTAGAATGATGAATACCTGACCCTCTGGAAACAGAGGGTATTTATAGCCCCCAGCGCTGGGCCAAGGTTCCTTCATTGGGCCGGGCAGGTTTGGTCCAATGGAGGAACTGCAAGGTTCTACGTGCGTAGTGGGGATCCGCACGTAGTCCCCTCCCTGGATGTTCTGCGTGAAGTACGGACGGACAGAGACGCGGTCTTTTCGGAGTCCCGTTGAGAGTGCAGCGGACTGGGTCTGCCCTAGGAGGGGTGCTCGAGGTGACGTCGAGCTGGAGAGTATGAGGTCGAGCAAGTAGCTTCGGGGAGCACGTCGGGCACGACTGTGATCCTTTGCTCGGCGTGGTCCCCAGCGAGTCCGTATGGATTGGGCTTTCTCAATGCTATTGGGCCAATCGGGCCCAGTCCAGAACAGGAGCCCCCCAAGTCGTGGTTCCTCGGGCTAGGAGCCACGACTTGATCTTAGGTTGCTTCCGTCTCGGGGCCTCGTGCCCGGGTCGGAGACGCCACTCCTCGTGGGGTGTTCCTCGCGGAGAGTGCTCGGGGATTCCTCAACGGCGCGTCTGTCGAGCGCGCGAGGTATCTTTTGGGAGCTGTGCCGCCACCCTATGAGGATATGGTCATCATTGCCTAGGGAGTTGTGCGTCGAGGAGAGAAACTCTGTGGTTGCCCGAGGTGACGTTTGGTATTCCACGTCATCACTATAAATAGGATCCTTGGGCCCCATAACGCGTTACTACTCTTTGCGCTTCTGCTGCTGCTGTTCTTCCAGATTTTCATAGCATAGCTGCGATTCCCGTCACAGATTCCTTTCCTCCGTTGCCGAATCCACTCCTTGATTCCAAGTAAGTGACTTATCTTCTTTGTTTTCCTGTTGTGATGCATGATTTTCATCGTTGTAGACGTTTTAGAGACTGTGCGCGTGGGACTAGCCCGGTAAATTCATGTTTAGCTCGACAAATTCATGCTTAGGACCGACAAACACACGCTCGTGGCCGGTAGATACATGGTTTAGGTTATAACCTGCAGTGTTGCCCGGGGTCTTCATGATCCAGGGCGCCTGATTCATGATCGTGCCCGGTATGTTCATGGCTCTGGCTGTAGGTTTTATGATGTTGCTCTCCATGTTCATACCTTGGGTCGGCATATTCGTGAGTGACCGCGTTGTCGGTTTGCTTAGGCGGCTTGGAGAAGGTCTCGTCGAGTTATCCGGACGTCGGGGAGGCGACTGCTATTTTGTTTCAAACTAACTTTATGGTCGCGCGTGGAGCGACGTGGTTTGTCGCACACTACATCTGGTCCGTTACGTCGAGCGTATGGTTTCGTGCCCAATTGACTGGTTTCCCGTGCTCTGCAGGTAACCAATGGCGGACGAGCCTTGCTCTTCTGGACGCCTCGAACGGGAGGAACAAAGTGCCGATGAGGCGGTGAGTTTGATCGACACTGTCGACGACCCTCTGTTGGACTGGGTGGGCACCGAGCCCAGAGGAATCGCGTCGATCTATAGCCGGCGTAACCGAAAGCCATATGCTGTCCTTGAGGCGAGCCACGGTCAGCCTGATTTTCAAAAGAATTTCGTCGTTACGCGACCGACCTCCACTGCCCAGATCTGCTCGGTGTACCCCGAGTATAGTTTCCCCATGTACGAAATTGCGTTCAAAGACCTTGGGCTGCAGCTGCCCTTAAGTGACTTTCAGGCCGGGGTCTTCGCCCATTTGGGGCTGGCCCCGTCGCAGCTACACCCGAACTCGCTCGCCTTTATCCGGGCGTTTGAGCTGACATGTCGTTTTCTGAGGATCGGGGCGACTATACCTCTCTTCTTCATAATTTTCCATCTGCAGCGCCAGTCCCGAGGAGGAAAGCACAGCTGGGTCTCCTTAAAACAGTCGAAGAGACTATTCAAGATGTACATGGACTCCGTGAGGGGTTTTAAAGACAAGTGGTATGTCGTGAGGCCGGTTACCATGGCCGCTTTAGAATCCCTGTACGAGGAGGAAGCGCCGATGAACGACGATGACGGGGAGGCGATTTTAGACAACGACGGGTATCCTGTGATGGCGCGCACGACCAAGTTCCCCGTGCATTGGATGTTCAGGCATTATGAGCACGGTACTGGATACTATCATACCTCTGCGGGCGACATGTGTTCCGAGGATGAGAAGGCGTACGACACTCTTTGTCGGTTCGTTGACAACTTCCACCCCGCCAGGTGGGCCACGAGGGAGGGGGAAGATGTCCTGGACGAGGAGGGTTATCCGACATTCGAGGCCCGACTGATCGATACTAAGGCACTCGTGGAGTGCCAGTCGTTCAGGCAGGCTGCTCGTCTGCTAGGTCGTTTATTGCTTGAATTTCTTTGCTTGTCATTTGTTTGCGTATTTGCTCGACACTAACTCGGTTTTTATTTTGTGCAGGTTCGATGGCCGGGCGACGGGAAAGACTCTTGAAGCTGTCTTGCGACCAGAAGCGGGGCAAGAGGGTTGTGAAGGCTCCCCAAGCAACGAGGATGGGCTCGCCGCATAGTCCGGGCGCTCCTCATGTGGTGAGGGTGGATTCTTCGCCTAGCTCGGGGGCCGCGTCGGAAGAGATCCCAGAGGTTCAAGAGGTCGAGCCACATGCCGACCTGATACAAAGAAAGAGGAACCGGGTGGAAAGCGGGCCGGCGGTCGGCGAGGACGCCAGCGCCGTAAGGTCCTTCGGGTTGCCCCCTTGCTTCAAAGAGGAGGGTTTCTTCGAGGGATTCCCTTTGTCTGTGGTTGCCGACGAGGCCGAGACTATCAGGAGGATGAGTAAGGAGGACCGGAGGAGGCATCTGGCCGCCAATATGGCCGGGCTGGTGAAAATGGCTGAAATGGCCGTTGTGCTGTCCGAGGAAGGGGAGGATCCTGTCCGCATTGAAGCATTGGAACAGGAGAAAGCGGCCCTTGCCTCGAGTTCGCGCAAATTAAGGACTGCCCTGGAACGCTCCGAGGAGATGTTCCGCGAACAGGCATCGCTGCTGGCTGCCGAGAGGGAGATGCTAATTCTGGAGAAGGAAAACTCGGGGAAGCTAGCCAAGGAGGGAGAGCTTCTCCGTGCGGACCGGGAGCGTCTGGAGACCGACATCGGGCGCCTAACCCAACAGATCGAGGACCTGAAAGTCGCCATGCTTCCTGCCGAGGACGAGCCGGAGGATATAGCTGCTTTGAAGAGTCGATCGGAGCTGGTCGCCCATATCCGGCTACTCGAAGCAGATTGCGTCGGTGCTATGGAGGAGGGGTTCGACTCCGCAGTCGGCCAGCTTTCCTTGCTAAATCCTGGTTTGGTCACTGAGGGGACGGGCTACACGTATCAGATCGTGGATGGCGCGATCGTGCCCCCGCCCGACTCTCCTGTTGTCGACAATGACGGTTCCAGGGAAACTTGATTGTAGGATGATGGGCATGCGTGCCGTTGATATTTGTTTGTATTTTTTGGGCCTGCGTGCCCGTTGGTTGTACTTCACGAACATCGCCGGCCTTCTTGGTCGGTTTATACTTATTTGCTTTGTTGCCTTCGGGCATTTTTTTTTTGAATGAATGCTGTTTCAAATTTGATTGTTTGCCCGTGCTTGATTTTTATATTTTTGCATAAAAATTAGCCTGTTATGGGCTCGAGGAGTGCCCGTAAGTGGCTGTGACTTAGCTGGCGAGTTTGCCCGCCTTTCGTTTGTATACGTGCCCGGCCTTCTCTCGATGGCCAGAGTCACCTAAGTGTTGTACTCGAGGGGAGAGACTTCCTTTTGACCCTTTTAGATGGCCCGTCATTCTTGACGACTTGTCGGGCAGATGGAGCGGAGTCGCTCAGTCGGGCGCGAAGCCCGGTAGGGACTATTTGCCCTTGGTGTGAACTGCCCATCGCGAGCTGGGTGTTCTGCCTTACAGGTACTACGACGGTGGAGCTCGGTGTAGTTGTCCACGTCGGGCACTATCGATTGGTCTCGTTTGTTGAGCGATGTTGTACGATTTAGCCGTATGTCGGGCTTGTACCTCAGCCTCTATACGGAGTCGGACGTTTTTCCTTGTTGACCGGGCGCGGGTGCCGATGGCCGAGGGTCCTAGGTGTTGGTAGTTTTTAACTATAGTACTGCTTTAGCTTAGCAGCGTTCCAGGGTCGTGGTAATGGCTCTCCGTCTAATTGCTCGAGATAGTACGCCCCGG